CTGCCTATCTCGACCTCCCAAAGTCCTGGGATTACAGGTGTGAGCCACTGCGTCTGGCCTCCTATAGGAAATTTTAAAATAGTTATATAAGATGATATTTTATATAACATATATTAAACTATAAACATACATAATGCCTAAAATATATATAATAAGCTTTTAAAAAGCAGTCTGGCCAGGCGCAGTGGCTCATGCGTGTAATCCCAGCACTTTGGGAGGACGAGGCAGGTGGATGACGAGGTCAGGAGTTCAAGACCAGTCTAGCCAAGATGGTGAAACCCCGTCTCTACTAAAAATACAAAAAAGTAGCGGGGCGTGGTGGTGGGCGCCTGTAATCCCAGCTACTCAGGAGGCTGAGGCAGAGAATCGCCTGAACCCGGGAGGCGGAGCTTGCAGTGAGCCGAGATCAGGCCACTGCACTCCAGCCCCAGCAACAGAGCAAGACTCCTCAAAAAAAGCAGCAAGTCTGGAAAAATTCGATCCAAAAATCGATCAGTGGTCATCTCTGGAGAGTAGGGGAGAAGAAGGGTAACACTTTAGTAACGCTTTAGCTTTCTGCCTAATGATTCAACTTTTTTCCAGACTAAAATAAATGCCTGGACAAACTAGTAGGTAATCTACTAGCAGTAAAGCTGCAAACAGGGTAATAGTCAGTTTAAGGATTGCCTTCATGTCTTGAAATCAAGTTTCGGTGGCTTAGGGGACTTAGTTAAAATAGAGCTCACTGGTGTCTTGTGGCTGTAAGTGGGGACACATTTAAATGGGTCACCCTGCAGCTAGCAAAAGAAAGAAAGAAAAAAAAAACCCAGGAAATGGAAACTATAACGTTAGAGTCCCAAGACAAGGGTGCCCAGACTTGGCTGTGGCGGATAGATTCTTAGGTCAGTCCTCCTACCCCTACACCACACTCATAAATAAATACAAAGGAAATACTTTCCCGGGAGAGCCAGGCTCTCTCCCTTGACCTCTGACCTCCCTGAGTGGCCGTTTCCTCCAGCCCCGGGGCCCCCATCCCGGCTCTGCCCCGCGCCCAGGGTTGTAGCGGCGGCCGGCGGGGTCGCCAGCACCTGGCCTGGCCGGGCGCTCCAGGGTGAGCCTCCTCCCGGCTGGCTGTGCTGAGCTCCGCAGTGCCGGGTGACTCCCTGCCAGGTCACACGGAGCTTATCTGGCTCCAGGTGTGCTCCCTCACTCCGACTGCACGCTTCTCACGTGACATCAGCCGGCCCTCCCGCCGCCGCGCGGTGAGCCGGGCGGCCCTCGGCGTTTCCCGGTGGCTGGGCCGGCGCAACCGCCCGCGGCGCTTCCCGCTGCGATCCCATCTCCCCCGGAACGCAGCAATCCGGCGGGCAAGGGACGAACGCAAGGGGGAGAGAGCTCCTGCGGCCCCGCCAAGTCCCCCGCTGCTCTTCCAGGTGCACCGGCGGTCGCTCAGCTCAGCTAATAGCCCCTTCCGTGTGACCTTGAGCAAGTCCCCTCCCCTCTCTAGGCCTTCACTATTTCAGCTACAGTATCTTCAAGAGCCTGAGAGCTCAGACTTGGCCCTCAGCCTCTGCTGGGGAGGTATTCTGCTCAACCACACACTGCAGGTTGTAATCCCGCTCTACCTCCGACTTGCTGTGTGACCTTCAGCCCATCATCTAACCTCTCTGAATATCAGAGAATAATCACAATAATCACTTGTAAGTGATGATAAAGTACTTGGCAGAGAGAAAGGGCCCTGGGTCCTGTAAAATCATCAGTCCAACAACCAAAACTGCTTCCTGACTCTAAAGTTTGAAATGTCAAGGGAAATTGACATTTTACAAGCCCTGCATGCAATTCCTACTTCAAGAGAAGGGCAGGGAAGTGAAGGTGGGGAGTGGAGGCTCACCAGGTCTGCTCAACACTGCTCCCAATCTAGCTCCTACCTCAGCACCTCCCCACCTCCTCTCATTCAAGCCACCTTGGAAAATGCTAGGGGGAAAAAAGGTGATAGGCGTGGGGTGTGCAGATCTTAAAGCACCCAGGGGTCTGACCCTAAAGCAGAACTTAAACTCCATCAAGCCCCCTACCAATCCCAAGTCCTGTGGGAACCTGTCAATTACAGCAGACAGTGGGCTGGGCCCTCCTACTGCCCCAAACCTTTAAACTACAACCAGCTAGAGCCCCTCGGTTTTCCCACCATACTCAGGCCTGGGACCCCGGGCCACCAACAAAACCCAGCTCACATGGATGCTCTGGTTCTTGCCTGTGGCGTCCACTCCAGGTGAGAGGATCTGGCTGGGAAGGTCTCTACTTTCAAGGAGTAAGAACAACCCTGCTGCCCTGGAGACCTGTGACACACCAAGTCCGGATGAAGGCTTCCTGAGTTCCAACAACTCCCAGCTCCACCTCAGCAGGGTGGATTCTCCCTTTCACAGGAGCCCCAGTTCTGCCCCACCCAGTCCACCTTTAGGTACCTGCCTTTGGGGAGCCCAGAGTTTTCAGGCCTAGTTTCTGAAGACACATGCCCTCCTCAATGAACAGCCACTACCAGGGCCAGTGAGGGGGCCTCCAGGGAACTGGCTGGCTACCCAGATGGCCCAGGAGTGAGGCTGAGAGACCAGGTGGGAGTCAGGAAGGGCATAACCCACATGAGGAAAGTCTGGGGCGCAGGAGGAAGTCCTCAGGCACGCACTCTAGCACCTGGGCCAGGCCAGGAGAGAGTAAACAAACTAGACACTCAGCTACCAGGCACCAGGTCATCAGCTGTTCAAAGCTCAAAGCTCCCAAAGTAAGTGACCACCAGCCTGTGGCCCCTTCAATGCCCACCCTCCACCCCCACCTACAACCCTTCTCATTCCCCTAATCCCCTCAATACAATAGCTGCCCCCAAAGCCATGGTTTTCCTGGAATTGAGGCCACAACCCCGATGTCCTCAACCCAAAATGGACAAGCACACCTCCACCCGAGGCTATATATAACCCGTCTGTCAAATCCAGAAACCAGGAGGATGTTTCCTGGAAAGCCTTCATCACAAAAAAACAGAGGGGAAGCTGAGGAGGTGGGAAGCCATGGACAAAGAGCCAGTGAGGCTTGTCAGGAAGCCAGAGACCTCAGGAGAGCAACTTTCAATATCCCCAAATAGAAAGTAGCCCCTGAACTAAAAAGGGTGGGGAACATTAGGCCAGGCCTGTTGCTACGACAACAGGGCACCAATCTGCTCAAGAAAAGGGCTCCAAAGCACAAGGAAAAGGCAGCTTGATTCAATGGGCTCTGTACTCACCGTCCTCCTCAGATGATCTTGCTTTTTTTGTTTTTTTGAGACAGTTTCACTCTTGTTGCCCAGGCTGGAGTGCAATGGCGCGATCTCAGCTCACCACAACCTCCGCCTCCCAGGCTCAAGAAATTCTCCTGCCTCAGCCTCCCAAGTAGCTAGGATTACAGGCATACACCACCACGCCTGGCTAATTTTGTATTTTTAGTAGAGATGGGGTTTATCCATGTTGAGGTTGGTCTCAAACTCCTGACCTCAGGTGATCCGCCCGCCTGGGCCTCCCAAAGTGCTGGGATTACAGGTGTGAGCCACCGCGCCCGGCCTGATCTCTGATCTCGCTCTTAATCATCCAGGTGGCCTCCCCTCCCTTCCAGCGCACCCCAGTGCATACACAATTCCCAGAGCTCACTCGCCACAGGGGCACTGATGAGGTCTTCTCGGCCACAGACACGCCAGGGGCTCCAAAAGACAAGACGAACCCACACTAACTACCCAAGTCATTGGCAGGGTGAAGCAGGGAGGGAACCCAATTCTTTAATTCTGGGTGGCCATCTGAGGGCATGAAGGCCCTAACCAGGACAGTCTCTCTCAGGAAGCATTCCCCGAGCCCTCCCTACACAAACACACACTATGAGGCCAGCGCCAAACACATGCCCCATTGGTCAAGTGGCCAGGCAAAACGAATACGGGCTCAAAAACAAACTGGCTGTCTTCCTCCCCATCTCCCCCTCCCCCCACCTCTGGCTCATTCTGGCCGCAACCTTTCCAACTAATCAGTAAGACACATGTGCCTTGCAATAGGGCAACTCCCCCATCTCCACCCCCACAACAAAGCCCCAATGCCTGGCCTGTCCCTGCGGGCCTTATCGCACCCAGGAACATGACCCACACTCCTGGCCAGGCTTGGGACCAAGGAGCGCACCCCCACTAACAAGGGGCAGGGTGAGGGGGCAGCCACCCCTACCACCTCCCCTTCCCATTGGTGAAACAACTGGCATGACAGGTTAGCAAGGCGGGGCGTTGGGGCGGTCTCTCCAGAGGCCTGGGGCAGCTTGTCCGACCTTCCCACACGCACCCCACCTCTCTGCAGGGAAAGGTGAGGTGAGCATTCAGTCGCAGGGTACAGCCTGCACTCCCTAATCCCCAAAGCCTGCCACCATTCATCCCCTCATCTTCTGTCCCAAGAGGAGGGGGCCCAGGGAAGCGGGGTCTCTATTGTTTTGCCAGCTGTCTAGCAGCTGCTCCTTTGAGAGGAGCCCGCAGTCGGCCCGGCAGTGAAAGAGTGAAGGCCGCTGGGAGGGATAAAAGGCTGGGTAGAGGTGCTCCCCTTCCCCGCTGCCTTCCTCAGCGCCCCGCTCGCTCGCTCGCTCCATCGGGGGGCCTGGGCCGGGACAGGAGAAGTCCCCCCACCCCCGAGGCTGCAGCCCGCACCCCGCAGCTCCCGGCCACCTGGGCGCCTCCAAGCGCCAAATCCCCCCACACTGAAGGCCACCCTGTCCTGCCTCCCTGCGCCCCCCAGGTTGGCTGGAAGGCCGGTGGTCCCCCTTCCCCGCCGCTCCCGGTCGGCCCCCACCCCCGGGCGTCGAGCTCCACGGCGCCGCCAGGGACGGGAGCCGGGAGTCCGGGCCGCTGCTTCCAGGGGACAGGGGAGGAGGAGGAGCCGGCGGGCCCCGCCGCCCGCCCGCCCGCCCGGCCGGAGCCCGCCCCGCCGCCGCACCGGGCCGGGCCCGCCACCGAGCGGCAGCCGCCGCCGACCCGCACTCACCAGCCACCGGAGCCCGCCCGGCAGGCAGCAGAAGCGGAGACGCGGCATCCAGCAGCCTCGGCCCGGTCGGGGCTGGAGCAGAGCTCAGCGCGGCGCAGCTCAGCGCCGCCCCCAGCGACCGCGCCAGCCGAGCCGAAAGGGAGCTCCCTGCTGGCTGCTCTGGGGATAAACGCCCGGCCTGCCTAGCAGCACCAGTGCGTGCCGCCAGACGTGGGCCAGGCGGGCCGGGCGCTGCCCTGGCAGCCTCCGTCCGCAGTGGGCTCTGAAGCTCCTCTCGCTGTGTCTGAGAGAGGCCCTGCCTGGAGTTTCTGTCTGCACTGGGCACTGGAGGCTGTCCGAAAAGGGTCCGAAAGGGGCTGAGTGGCACTGCCCAGGGCAGGCACCAGGGTCATGATGAACGTATAGAAGAGGGGCCGTCCAAGGCAGGCACCGAACTCTGCAGGCTGTGTTCAAGGTAGTGCTGTCTAGAGGAAGCAATTAAGTCTTACTGGCCAACTCTTCCCAAGGTGGCTCTGCAGAGGCACACACAGGGATGGATGGTGCCCCAGGCTCAGTCCAGACCAGGTACTGCCTGCCATGTCCGAGATGGCACTGCCAGAATGCACTCCCCAAGGTAAAAACAGACTCTCAATAGCTTGGTCTGATAGAGCCCTGTCTCAAAGTGGAGTGGATCAAGAGGCGTACGGGGCCCAGGAGCCATGGCTGTAAGTGCCACTCGCTCCTTGAAGGAGTTCACCAATGCCAAGATTAACACTTTCAGAAGCTCTTTGGAGTGCAGTCTGTCCCTGGGTCCACCGTGTGCTGTAAATATCAAGTGAGCTGCTCTACCCACCAAGAAGACAGTTTATACTTCCTAGGAGAGGCCAAGGGACATCTAGATACCAGGCCTCCAAGATAGGTGCTATGTCTGGAGTTTGGAGAGAGAAAGAAACGGAGACACTTTTCTGGGCAGTGTCCATGCTGGAGTGGGGTGCGCCAGAATGTGGAAGAAACTGAGTGGGGTGGTGCAGGAAGAAGGGTGTAGCAGACAAAGGCAGCTGCTTCCCTAGACAGCCCAAACAGGAACTTCTCCAGGCAAGGGCAGCCCAACCTGACAGACCAGGGAAGGCTGGAGCGAGAAGGCTCAGAAGCAAAGAGTTGAGTAAGACTTAGAAGTTCCTGAGGAATAGACCCAGGTAGGATACACATTTTGGAATAACATGCAACTCAAACTCAATTTGACAAACTGCCTGCTAAGTGCCAAGTGCAGCCCCAGGCATTTGGGGTGATACAGAAGGAGATCAGACATGGCATATCTCCAGGGAAATCACATGGGGAACAGGTAGAGCTGAGCTGTGACAGTAGCAGGGTTCACCACGCTGGCATAACTTGGATGATGAGATAGGTGCTATGACGGGAGGCTTATTTGGCTTGAGGAGTGAGAAAAGCAGCTTCAAAAACATGACATTTGAGGCCGGGCATGGAGGCTCATGCCTGTAATCCCAGCACTTTGGGAGGCTGAGGCGGGCAGATCCCTTGAGGCCAGCATTCAAGACCAGCCTGGCCTTGAACCCCCATCTCTACTAAATGGTGAAACCCCATCTCTACTAAAAATACAAAAAATTAACCAGGCATGGTAGTACACGTCTGTAATGCCAGCTACTTGGGAGACTGAGGCAGGAAAATCTCTTGAACCCAGGGAGCAGAGGTTGCAGTGAGCTGAGATTGCACCACTGTACTTCAGCCTGGGCGACAGAGCAAGACTCTGTCTCCAAAAAAGAAAAAAACAAAAACAAAAACATGACATTTGAGGGGAACCTTGCAGGCTAGGTAGGACAATGACTATCATTAGTGTTTCCTGAGTACCTACTATATACTGGACACTATCTCTATTCCTCACAATGAACCTATGAGGGAGAGATTATTATTATAGATAGGGGTTGAGTGCATGGACTCTGGAGCTGGATTGCCTGGGTTCAAATCTCAGTTCTGTCAAGTACTAGCTGTGTTACTCTGGGTGATTTATAAAACCTCTCTGTGCTTCACTTTGTTCATCCAAAAAATTGGGATAATAAGAGTGACTCCCTCCCTCAAAATTTGTTTTGAAAATTAAATAAGCTTAGTCTTTTCAACACATGGGGCTTTTCAACAAACTGGACATCCACATGCAAAAAAAAAAAAAAGGGTCTAGACACAGACCCTATACCCATCACAAAAATTAACTCAGAATAGATGATACACCTAAATGTAAAACACAAAACTATAAAACTGTCTCCTAGAGGATAACATAGGAGAAAACCTAGATGACCTTGAGTATCACAATGACTCTTTAGATACAACACCAAAGGCACCATGAAAGAAACAGCTGATAAGCTGGGCTTCATTAAAATTAAAAATGTCTGCTCTGCAAAAGACTGTCAAAAGAATGAGAAGACAAGCCACAACTGGGATAAAATATATGCAAAACACATCTGATAAAGGATTGTTATCCAAAATATGCAAAGAGTTTTAAAAACTCAACAATAAGAAAATGAACCATCCTGTTTAGAAATGGGCAAAAAACCTAATCAGACACCTTACCAAAGAAGATATACAGATAGCAGTAAGCAAAAGAAAAGATACTCAACATTGTATGTCATTAGAGAATAGCAAATTAAAGCCAGGTGCGGTGGCTCATGCCTGTAATCCCAGCACTTTGGGAGGCTGAGGCGGGCAAATCACGAGATCAGGAGATCAAGACCATCCTGGCTAACAGGATGCAACGCTGTCTCTACTAAAAATACAAAAAATTAGCTGGGTGTGGTGGCACGCGCCTGTAGTCCCAGCTACTCAGGAGACTGAGGCAGGAGAATCACTTGAACCCAGGAGGCAGAGGGTGCAGTGAACCGAGATTGTGCCCCTTCACTCCAGCCTGGGCAACACAGCAAGACTCCGTCTCAAAAAAAAATAAATAAAAAATAAAAGAGAATAGCAAATTAAGATAACCATGAGATAAAACTACCTTATTTACATAAATTTGGATTTTGGCCAAAATCCAAAACGCCAACAACTCCAAATGCTAGCAAGAATGTAGAGCAACAGCAACTCCCATTCACTGCTGGTAGCAGTGCAAAATGGTATAGCCACTTTGAAAGACAGTTTGGTGGTTTCTTCGAAAATGAAACATAGGCCAGGCGCCGTGGCTCAAGCCTGTAATCCCAGCACTTTGGGAGGCCGAGACGGACGGATCACGAGGTCAGGAGATGGAGACCATCCTGGCTAACAGGGTGAAACCCCGTCTCTACTAAAAAATACAAAAAAACTAGCCGGGCGAGGTGGCGGGCGCCTGTAGTCCCAGCTACTCGGGAGGCTGAGGCAGGAGAATGGCGTAAACCCTGGAGGCGGAGCTTGCAGTGAGCTGAGATCCGGCCACTGCACTCCAGCCTGGGTGACAGCGAGACTCCGTCTCAAAAAAAAAAAAAAAAAAAAAAAAGAAAATGAAACATACTCTTACCATACAATCCAACAATCCCACTCCTTGGTATTTATCCAAATGAATTGAAAACTTATGTCTACACATTGGTCCTGCACATTGATGTTTACAGCAACTTTATTCATAATTGCCAAAACTTGGAAGCAACCAAGATGAACTTCAGTAGGGAAATTGATAAATAACCTATGGTACATCCAGACAATGGCATATTATGTGGCACTAAAAAAGAAATGAGCTATCAAGCCATGAAAAGACATGGAGGAAACTTCAATGTATATTAATAAGTGAAAGAAGCTGATCTGAAAAGGCTACATATTGTATGATTCCAACTATATGGCATTCTGCAAAAGGCAAAACTATGGAGACAATAAAAAGTCAGTGGTGCCATGGATTAAGGTCGAGGGAGGGATGAAAATGCAAAGCACAGAGGATTTTTAGGGCAGTGAAACTCTTCTGTATGATACCGCAATGTTGAATACATGCGTTTGTCAAAACCCACAGAATGTACAACACCAAGAATGAATCCTAATGTGGACCATGGACTGGGGGATACTGATGTGTCAAGGCAGGTTCATCAGTTATAACAAGTGTACAACTCTGGTGAAGAGTGTGATCACAGGGAAGGCTGTGCATGTGTGGGGGCAGGGGGCAGATGGGAAATCTCTGTACTTTCTTTGCAATTTGGCTGTGAACTTAAACTGATTTTTAAAATAATATTTATTATTATTACTATTTTGAGACAGAGTCTCACTCTGCCACCCAGGCTGGAGTGCAGTGCTGTGATCTCAGCGCACTGCAATCTCTGACTCCCAGGTTCAAGTGATTCTCATGCCTCAGCCTCCCAAGTAGCTGGGATTGCAGGCATGTGCCACCACACCTGGCTGATTTTAGTATTTTTAGTAGAGATGGGGTTTCATCATGTTGACCAGGCTGGTCTCAAACTCCTGGCCTCAGGTGATCCACCCACCTTGGCCTCCCAAAGTGCTGCAATTACAGGCATGAGCCATTGTGCCCGGCCTTGTATTTATTAATTTTTTTAAATTACATGATTTAATATATAAAAAGAACAGTGCCCAGCACACAGTAAGCGTTCTATAGCTGTTAGCTTGGTTATCTTTCCTAACTCATAGTTGTGGAAATGAAGCACAGACAGGTTTGTGACTTGCACCCAGCCTGAGAGTAGCAGAGTCAAGATTCAATCTGAGGTCCTTAAGGCTCCAAAGCCCATTCTTTTCCCTATACCATGGCAGTGAAATGAATCGGTATATTAACAACTCTTTTTTTTTTTTTTTTTTTTTTTTTTTTTGGGACAGGCTTCCTCTGTGCTAAGCTAAATCTGTCTTGTCTCCTTCCTTCATCTCAGGTTCAAGCGGTCTCCTGCCTCAGCCTCCTGAGCCAGCTGGGATGACCCACCACCGCCACCACCCCAGCTCATTACCTTTTTGGTAGAAGCAGGTTTCACCATGTTAGGCCAGGCTGGTCTCAGGCTCTGACAGCACCCACCTTGGCTTCCCCAAAGTGCTGGGATTACAGGCGTGAGGCACCCACAGTGCCAGTCAACAACTCTTTTATTTACGCTGTGTGTCTCACCACATAGGACACTCTGGGTAGCACGCATGGTGTCCTGAGAGCTCTTTGAACCACAGGAACCAGTTTTACAGACCCTTTATATCAAAACTAGAAACTGGGGAAAGACGCACC